GCTCCGGCTCGATGCCCAGGTACTCCTTCAGCAGCTCCGAGGCTGAAGCCTGGTACGCCTCTCGCCCTGCCCTTCTCTCCAAGATGGCATGTGCCACCTGCGTGTCAAAAACGGCGCGCAGCTGAATGCCGTGTTGGTGGAACAGGGCTGCGCTGTCTTCACGACAGTCGTGCATCACCTTGACGACGCGCCTGCTCTCGAGAAGTGGCGCCAAGGCTTCTACAACCCCCTTGCGCAGCGCATCGCAGAGAAGAACGTGGCCCTTGGAATCCTGCAGCTGCAGAAGGCAGATGCGTCCGAATCGCCCCAAACGAACTCCTTCACAGTCCAAGGCTACAGCAGGACCTTGCTGGCTTCGGACCGCCTGTAGCTCCGCCATCTCCTCAACCTCCCCGTCTCCTTGGTCTCTTTGGACACCTTGGACACCTTGGAGCCCCCAAGTGGCGCACGCCTGTCTCGCCTGGACCTCGCTGGTCACGAGGTGGACTCGCTGTGGCGGCTGTGAGCCTGCGTGGCCGTAGCCTCGGGCGCGAGCTAGGGCAGGTAGGGGCGTCGGCATAAGCCAGCCGCGCTTTGGACATCGGATCCTGCATACAGCTGGAACCATCCCTGCAGGTGAAGCGCGCCACCATTCTATATAGGCTCCTACTCCTGCAGCTACACTGTTTTGCCGGTAAGTGCAACCCATAAGGACTAAGGACTCCCTGATCGATGCTCGAGAGCCGGTGAACACCTGCCTCAGATCCTGAGCCAAAGCTAGCACAACACCGTGCAGTTCATAGCAGCACGATCTTGCTGGAGATTCTGAGGGAACGTGAAGATCTGAAGATCTCTGCTCAATCACAGAATCATCTGCCCAGCTCAGTCAACTTTGGCGGCGCGCGCGCTGGGACTCGTCCATCTGGCTTCAGGCTTCTTTGGCCGGCTGCCACTCCTGGAGCAGGGGCTTGGACTGTTTCACCTACATTGGAATATCACCAGCGGCAGCCTGAGGCCTGGCATGAGCCCGACAATTTACCCGAACTCCGTACCTCAAAGCCGAAGACACGCCAGGATCCGATGCCAGAACTGGCCCGGCGGGCCGTGGCGCCGACAAAGGCTTTCTCAACGGCCTGGAGGATCTCGGAGACCGGGGCCAAGGCGCCCCGGCCCACATCCCCACATGCCAGCGTCTTGCTGACTGGTGGAATGATGGTGGAGCCACGGGCCTGGAGTGTGGTTAAGTGCTGCAGTGTGCTGGGGTGCTCCCACATGAGGGTGTTCATGGCAGGTGCAATCAGGAGCGGCTTGTCAGGGTCCCATGCTCTCAAGAAGCACGTGGCCAAATTATCACAGAGCCCCAAGGCCAGCTTCGCCAGTGTGTTTGCAGAGCACGGGGCCACCAAAGCAACGTCTGCCCATCTTCGTAGCTCGATATGCACCACAGAATCCGAAGAAATGTTCTCGTAACCCATCCACTCGTCGTCGTCCCGTAGGACGTGGACGCCACTGCGCTGCAGCGCCTCCCACGCCCGGAAGTGCTCTGGCGCATACCGGCCAGCGACTCGTTGGCTGGTCATGACCTCGCCTGGGGCCGTAAGGATCACCGTGACCTCTGCAAGTTTGCTCAGCTTCTCCACAAGCTCCGGGATCTTCACCGATGCCACACTTCCCGTCGCCACCACTGCAACGCGAGGCCGATTTGATTTCGGCGGCTCCCGGAGCCACTCTGCTCTGCAGGTGGGCTCCTGCGGAGTTCCATGGCTTCTTCTTGCTTCTTCGACTGCACAAACTCACTCTTAACGACTCCAAACACCCGCCTTCCATCTGCGCAGGCGGCGCGCTGCCAGCAGCGCCACAATCCCGAGCCCAGCCCCTGCTGCCACCTGAGAATATGTTTCAAGAAGCTCAAGGCGAACTACTCATGTAGATTCAAAAGTCTGTAGCTCTCACTACAAGTGTGTCCGGCTGTGGACCAAGATGCCGACCAACGCAATGTCCCTCACTGGGGCAGAGCTGCTCATGGCTGGCGAAAGAATCAAGCACTACGTCCGGATGTCGGACATCACTAATTCAGCAGGAAATGTGCTTTTTGTTGAATGGTTTTTGCGATTTTTGCAGGTTGAGCCAAGGTTTCTCATGCAAAGGGTGTTGCTGCTGAACCTGCTCAGCCCGCACTCCCAACCCGGCAAAGGTTCTTGCGCTTTTGCACCCCGCAGCAGCTTGTCCAAGCGTGCCAAGTGTGTAGCCCTTTGGCGTGGGACGTCTACGAGTCTAACTTTGAGATCGCGACTAATCACTCGGCAAAGGGGAAAGCTCAGCAGGCACGAACAGACCATCCTCAACTGCTCAGAAGCGTCACCAGAAAGCCTCTTCTTGGTGTCTCTTTCCTACCCCTTCCTAAATGAGATACAAGAAGCCTTGTGAGACCAAGTGTCGTGGGCCAGCTGCACATCTAGACCTTCAGTCCACCAGAGCTTGCCTCGTCATGGCAGTGATGAGCATGCTTGCTTCTATACAGCACATGAGCCTCATGTCACTTTCATTGTAGGATCTGTTGCCAGTAGGCTAGTCGGATGTGCTGCAGAACACGGTGGAATCCTGAAGCCCATTCCCCGAAACCTGTCGCGCTCGTAAATACACACACACACACATCGTACCAGACATTCCATGAGATCCGAGCTGCGAAGCTGCCTGTTCATTGCAAAGTGCTCGCCTTTGGTCTGGCGGTTCGACTACTTGTAGCACGGTGGAGGCTTTGCATTTGGGGTTTCAAGGTTAGAAGGCTAACTGTTGCTAGGACTCCGAGGGGGTAACTTTGGGGTTGTTGAATTGTAGAACATTGTAGAACTAACCCATGGAACCAACTCATGCGCACAGTGGCAAGGAACGGGTCCACGCAACCCGATGCTGCACATTTCGGGAGCACTGTGCCCACTCACATGGAGAAGCCAAGCAGCAGTAGTGGCCAAGCCCGACGAAGAAAGCCTCTTATTCAGGATGAAATAATTAAGCCTGGTACATGGCACTACTGGCAGCTGTCTTCGCTGGCCCCAAGCTGGCTACTTGTAAGCAGTAGCACTGCCCCAACTACGTCTTCAGTTGGCCTCAAGCCGGCCGGAGTCAAAGCAAATGAATCTTAAATTCCTGGACCCTTCAACCCTGCAAAGAGCGTAAGACGCATAAACCCTGATTTCTACAAAGCTTAAAACACTGTGTTGGGCTTAAAGCAAGGTTTTCGAATCCCAGAGCCCGGTGTCCTTCTCTGGGCGATACCGCCGCACCAATGCCAGACTCTCCTGGGGGCGGGAGCTCTTCCGGGAGGGACTAGGGCATGGGGTTTAAAGTTTAAGGAATTTGGGTTTACCTCTGTGCAGGGAGTTATGGCTCAGCGCAGTTTGGCTGTTGGGTCGTAAGATGAGTCACCACGAGCTAACTATTCGCTGCTACACTGTTTCTGCATTGTACTTCCAGGGCCCGTGGGCTTAGGGACCTTTGTAGCGTTCAATAATATATATATATATATATAATATACATATTTATACATAGATATATATATATATATATATATATATAATGGTTGCTTCGCACTTCTGTACTTCGACCTTCGCCCACAGCAGCCCTGAAACACCGGCTCCTCCAGGTTCGCGTGCACCGTGCTGGTGGTTGCGTCAGGGAAGAGGACATCCAGGATCAAGATGGAGATCCTGTCCTTGCTAGGCTCGGGGAGCAAAAGGCATCAAAAGACTGTCAAAGGGCATGAGGCGTCGTGCTGCATCTTTAGTAGTAGTTGGCACGTTTTGCCGAGGCATGTCGGCCAAGTCCTAGTCTACAAGCAAATGCCCTGCTCCTGCAATGCGGCTCTGCAGGCATTCGAGTGCGTTCGGATCTCTTTAGGAAGGTTGTCAGTCTCTCAGGTCCCCACCGCCCTCCTCCTCCCAGCACCACCCTTAATTTTGGCTCTCTTGGCTGGAATGAAAGCTCGGCCTAGCCGACCGGCAAATGAGCCGTGGTTTTTTCTCTAGCATGAATCGATGGACATTATACCCCTTCCGCGCACCCTTCCGCGGCGTATTCCGCGTGACTTCCGCGAGCCTTCCGCGGAAATACGCGACGCCACCTTCTCACCCGAAACGAAAATCAGCAACCTGGGTATATACCCCTGATTCTTTTGGGTTGAGGGTCAGGGGCCTTGGGGGTCAAGGGTTAGGGGTTAAGGGTTTAATGGTACAGGTATATGAGAATTTAAGGAAGGGGTTGGGAAGCATAGAAACGGGAGAGCCATGGGCTCTGGGCTTCCAAAACGACCCGTTGCCTTCCGCGGAGCTTCCGCAACCCTTCCGCGGGCCTTCCGCGGAGATCCGCTCTCCGAAACAGCTTGGAAAAGTGATGTGGTGCGATTCTTCTGGTTGCCGGCATGTTGGGCGCCTATACTTTGTTCTACGTTTCAAGCACGCTGACCTTCCGCGACCCTTCCGCGGACACCACGCCTTCCGCGGACCCTTCCGCGACCTTCCGCGCAATCTTGTTCACCTCTTCACCCCTTCCGCGGACAATAATAATGTCCGCTGCAAAGTGCCTATGCTCGAGCGCCTAAAAAAAACGCAGCTCAAATGGAGCGGGCGTAGGGTACCTGTGGTGGACCTTTTGCTGGGAAATTGACTTTCCGTGATGTCTGTCTTGTTTTTTGATCTGGACCCACCCCCCTTTTTGACTTCCTATGGGCTCCCACCCTACCGTAATCTAGCTCTCTGGACCCATGGACCTGGAATTGCTCCGGTCGCGTAGCGTTTCAATTTCAGCATTAAACTGCACCACTGTATCGAACACTACACTCCTTTCCTCATGCCAAGTGGAAACCAGTGAGAGTCACAACAGCAAAGCCCCACCAAACATGAAGCAAAAGCAACAGCCAATATTCGAATAATCACCATCTACTAATAACAATACTCATCATCGTCATAATATTGATATATATATATATATATACTCACCAGAATATACACTACTAATCCTGCCACTCAGGTGCGGGCTGGCTGTTGGCTCCAGCGATCAAGCAAAGCTTCGGTCTTTGGCAGGAGGGCCGTGTAGTCAGATATGTAGACCACTCCTCTTGGCTTTAGGATGCGAGGTTAAGAGTTCTAGCGGTTAGTGTAAGAAGTTTAGAAAACCTGGGGGCTGCCCCGTGTTTTTGGAGAGGGGGATGGCTGTGTAGCAGGAAGTTCTGACCAAGAGGCGTGAGCCACGTGGGCCGAAGCCATACCCAAAGCAGGTGTAGTCGGCGCCGTGCAGGACCGGCAGGGCATGGAACGGGAAGCCATCGACGGAGAACGGGGAGGTATCCTCGGGAATCTCCTGCAACATCTGCAGCTGATTCATGTTAAGTGCTTCTTCCAATGCAGCCATAGGTGCCACTAACTTCATGGATCACTGCAGCGTCTGGTTGGCAGTCATTATACAGGCCAAGTTCTGTCCTGCCACTGCATGCTGGCCACGAAGCGTGTCAGCTTCTGCGGTTGATTGGGCCCATCGCTCATCTGCTCTGGCCCACAGTCGCCATTGCAGTCGCTGTTGCACTGGCAGAAAGCCTGCACAAGGCCAAGGACCTTCTCCGGCTTGGGGAACAAATATGGAAACGCACGTCCTCGACTGTCTCAAGCAAGAAGAACGCAATTCGGCAGTCTTGTGGAGCTGTACTTACACCGCCAAGGACCAGAACAGGTTAGAGCTTGAGTGTTTTTTTTTGAACGACCTCCACATGGCACAGAACATGCGAGGTTAGCCCGGCCACGGCAGTGCAGCAGCGTGCGGCGGTCACAGAAGCAGCGGATCGGCGGGCCCATCACCTGACGCTTCACGGGGTCGAAGGGCTGCACCTGCCGCAGGTCATCCAGACCTGTGAAGTCGCAAGTGTGAAGTCGCAGAGTCATGGGGGGGACTGGGAGGGTCACCCGATTAAAACCTGGCAGATTCGGGCCCTCCGTACATTTGAGGCAGATATCAGGTTATATGTACCAAGATGTACTATGAACTACTGCAATTTCCGAAGCCCTTGGCCAAGAAGCCAAGAATTGCATCAGCATGGTCATGTGTCAGGAGCACTGCATCCAGTGACAAGACCTGGTGCGCTTTGTATACCGAGAGCACTGACTCGCGGTAGGTTTTGCCGCAGTCGATCTGCACATGCTTCACCTGACCATCCGGCTGCTCCCATCTCACAATCAACCCCACGTTGTTTCTCCAGTTTGGGTTGCTGCGGCCATAGCGTAAAGCAACTTCGCAGGACTGGCAACCAGGAACGGCACCCTCACCTCCGATGGCACAGCGTATCATTGGCTGGGCACAAGATGAGCCCGTGCCGCTGAAAATGATTCCTGGCCCGCTCGCTTGGCGTGCACATCCTGCACAGGCGCGAAGCCCACGCAGGCAAGCACAGGAATCAAAGGAATCGAGCATTGAGCCCAGCATGCTAGTCAGATCCCACCCCTGCATGTTGCAAAGCGCAGACGATCTGTGACAGACTAAGACTCAAGGTCAAGGCCAAGCCATGCTGAAATGCAAAAGTGCTTGCGCAAGCTGTACATTATTGTTTTGGTCTCCGCGCATCTTATGACATAGTCCGACAAGGTGCATGCTGTTCTGATGCTTCTTCACTTGGCACAACTGCTCTGGAGCCAAAAGCTTTTCAAAGGCACCTGCTCCGACGAGTATGGAAGGCGCAAAGCACGTAGGACAGCACTCAGTTGCGCCAACCAGCTCGTGCAACCTCACGTTGGCATGCCCGATAGGTGCTACGAGCACTGCCCGTCTTACAGGAGACGCGTTCTTTTGGTACTCGACATGTTCTTCCGCTCCCCGAAGCTATGTGGCTCCTTTGAGGATGCCACATTTCGGAGCACGCTTGCCAGCTACCGGGCTTTCGAGGTCGGGGGTTCAGAATGCGTATCTTGCATAAATCGGCCGATTTATGCGTAGAAGAGCTAACAGCTTCACAACAGTCGGTTCAGGGAACAGTGCTACAGAAACCTTGCCTGGGAAGGGCTGCCGAAGCTGTCGGCCCAAAATTCTGAACCTTAAACCTCCCCTGAACCTCCCAGCAGCTTCTCAGTGGCTCAGGAGCTGATCCATATCAGACCTGACTTCAAGTGCTGCGGGCCCCCTCATGCCCTGGTTTCAAAGGTGTACTGTAGTTCATAGGGTTGAGGGCTAGTCACTAGGTTGCGAGGGCTCGGCTCCCTACGACATTCGCGTCTGTGTTCCACCTGTTCCCTGACGTTCTCCACCCGCTGTCAGCTACCACGGGCCACCAATTATTGCTGATGCCATCCCGATTCCAGTGAATCGCGGAACCAGGTCATCCGGGACTCTGGCATTAGCCCCTGTTTCTAGTGCACATGCGATTAGCTTGTCTGGAGTCTGGAGGTTCTTCTCCACTTGCTCTCGGCCGTGTCCTCCGCTGTACCCTCCCTCTGCGGGACTGCCGCTGCCGGAGGGGACAGCCTGATGACACCTCCCCTAACAATAACGGCTTCACTGCTCCTGTGGCTCGAAGTCCTGGGTACTGGCTGCCCAGACTCTCTGTCTTCTTCTGCTCTTTTCCTCCTTCTGCTTCTGCGCCATGTATGCCACTTCGGCCAAATGCCCGTAAGTGAAATCTGGGTGCAAGGCTCCTCCACTGCTGCAGTCGGAGACCAGTCTCCAAAACTGGGCATGCGCTGGGAAGGCGAAGGTACATACATGCTTAATGTTATGATGGCCCTAAGCCGAGCTCGGGGCAACTAAATCTTAGCACCGCTGCCAATTCCAAGGGTGTCTGCATCCAAACATGCAATTATGTCTACGCCAGAATGTAGATGCTGAGTTAAAGGGGCGTAATGCAGGATTTCTGGGCCACGAAATACAGTGGCTTGCTGAACCCTAGTTAAGCAGATTGTGCTCAGACAGGAGGCTGACTGCCTGTCTCTCTCAAGCAAGCATAAGGAGGCCCGGCTCTGTGTTCATGCCGGGAAAGCTGTCCTTCAGCCAAGCATCACGCCACGCTGATGATCAGTTTCGCGTTTAGGGGTCACCACACACGGTGATTTGAAAATAAAACGCTACACACACGCTTTTTCTTGCTGCCGCTGTGGTCGTTGAATCAAGTGCAGCGGTGGGAAGTTTCGGACCTACAAGTAGCCCGAAGCTTATAAGCCTGAACTAGAAGTATATACTGCAAACGAATATTGTACCTTTCCGTGTTGACTCTTTCGTTTTACCTGGAGGCATGAGTCTAAATAGCCTCGAGTCAGCTCAGACCTAGAACCTCAGCGTTGAACTCTCGGCCCTCTCAGTTCTACCAAGGCGTCCTCAGATGGATCCTCTTCTTCGAGCTCCCAAGTCTGCCACGCCTCAATTCAGCAAATCAGGGGGCTAGTTGAGGGTTAAAGTTCCATAGGCCTTAAGCTAATGTTCGAGTTCAACGGCCAAGAACCATGAAGACATTGCCAGGCATGGCTGCACCTGCCGACGACCCCACATAAGCCCTACAGAAACTACAGGCGGCACTGAAAGTCGAAACCACCCATACCCAACACATCTAAACCCCAATGAACGCACCGGTTCAAGCGAAGGCGAAGAAAACATTACCAAATCCGAGTTCCCCAATGAACGCTGTGCGCGGAGTGCCTTTTAGACAGCACCAAAGCATGGTACAAACTCAATTTCCCGAAGGAACGCTAGGGTCAACCTGGTCCTGGCAAAGCAGCTGAAATCCAGTGTTCGTTTGGAATCCCCAATGAACGCAAGGTGATTACAACAATTCGCTTGCCATCTTCGGCACACAGCACCACCAGGCTGTGCGTCCCTACATGTGTCGCACCCCTTGGTTTCATGCGTATGCTACGGGCTCGTCTTCAAGAGAGGTGCCAGCGCTAGCTGTGCACAGGGGGTTGAGAAGCAACACAACAGCGGTTGCAAGCGGCGCTTGAACAACCAAACTGCAAGGCCACAATTGGTTTTTGTGTGTTTTTGTAAGGCTTTCAACATCATATGTTTGGGCGTGTTGGAGCCTGCCTGATACGTTGTTTATAAAATCTCAAAGTTCCCAAGTGACCGCATCTCGGGGTGCCTTGTTGGAGACGATTTGGGATTCACGACGTTTAGGGTCATCTCCGAGTGACCGTGCCTTTGGGGGGGATCTTTGTGGAGCCTTTCTGAAGCCTCCGTGGGATCCTTTTGGAGCCTCCCTGAAGCGTTGTTTGGATTCTGAAAGCGTTTTGGGGAGCCTTGTTGGAGCCGATTTGGGCTTGGGTTTTAGGGTGAATCTAAGTTCCCAAGTGACCGTGCCTTTGGGGGGAATCTTTTTGGAGCTTGGGAAGTTTGGACAGCCCCAGACGAACGACGGCACCGTTGCACACCTAGATGCAGGTACAGGGTATTCATCTTCCAAGCCCCTGGCTAACCGAGCGCACCGAGGCGCACGTACCGAGCGTTCTATCAGTTCTATCTTCGAAGCCCCGGGTGGTTGTGAGTAGACCGAACTGCACGTACTGAGGTTTTCTGGCGCAGGTAGATCGATATACTTGTTGCTCCGTGTGACCGATGCCCCGATTACCGGAGATGCGTTTTGAAGGCATACGCCCATTTTGGGGTCCGCCTGGCCCTTCCACGATACATATCCACGATGCCTGAACAAACAGACCTGTTAGAGTAAGGAGTGCGTAAGGCGCGCGTAAGCTGCGCGTAAGCTGCAGCGGTCTCCGTAAACCAAGGCAAGCACAGCCGCGTTGGTATTTAGAGCTTAGAGGAAAGCTTGAATCGTTGTGTTCTGTTCCAGTGCGCCAGCCGACGAATTCTTCCGCGTTTGTCAAGATAGCTGAGTCCCTTGTGCTATGATGGAAATATCGTTCTCTCGCGTTTCTCATGATAACTGCGTCAGTTGTGCCAAGCTTACGCAGTGTGCTGGCCCATTTTTCAGGACAGTGTTTGACCCAGAGTGTTCTCCCGTGATCGTCACGAAAGCTGAGTCGCCCGTCTATACATTGGGACTTTGCTCGATCCAGAGAGTTCTCCTGCGTTTGTGATGATATCTGAGTCGCTTGTGCATTTTAGAAGATTCTGCTCGATCCGACGCATTCTCTCGCGTTTGTCAAGATAGCTGAGTCCCTTGTGCTATGAGTGAAGATTCTGCTTGACCCAGCGCATTCTCCCGCGTCTGTCATGATAGCTGAGTCACCTGTCCTACGTGTTAGGGCCCTGTTCTCTCGCGTTTCTCACGATAACTGCGTCACGTGTGCCATATTTGCGCAGCGTGCGCAGTTACAAACCCGCTTACCCCCAATGAACGCTGGACGGTAACGCCTTCCATGTTTTTTTCTCCCCAATGATTTGCATCAAAAACAATGACCGGTTTAGACTTCCACGGTTCACAGTAACAGAGGGCTTGAGGATGTAGGCTACGATGGTTTCGCAGCGCCCGCGTTGTGTGTCTGAGCGCGCTGCCCCCTCGGGCAGTGGCTCTGCCCAGAGGGCTTCATCAGCACCCTCAGCACATTGAGAGGCTTGAATTCGAGGACTCACAGGCGTAAAGGAACTCGATCAGGCATGGGCAGCTTCAACTCTCTGTTAAACAACACGTGTTGCAGTGCAACATTGGCAAGGGAGTGTCTTCCCGAAACCCCAAACCCTAAGCTCGAAACTGTGAGCAGGTCACCTATTGCTCTGACATCCTGCAGGGTGCCTCCAAGTGCTGCTCCAGCATGGACCTTTCCAGCGACCTTAGTCTACAGTGCTGTGCTCGGGCAAAGTAGAACCCTAAACTCCAAACCCCAAACCCTAAAAACCCAAAGCCCCGACAAAATGAAACTGCCCCAAGGCGATGGCTCGGCAAAAGCACCGGCCACTTGCGAGACCTTCTGGGCCGTGAGGTCAGGCATCTTCGGTTGAACTGAAGTCTGCTGCTGATGGCATAGATGTAGGTCTCAAAAGGGGCTTAGAGTTTTTTGGGGTTTAAGGACGAAAGATCCGATCTAGCAGACGAAGCAGTTTGCAGTTTGAGATTGTAGGGTTCGTACGCCTTTCCGCCCACTGACCTCAAGTTCGCATGCCTGATCGTCAGCGAAGACGTCGGTCCTCTGTTCAACCTTGCCACAGGCCCAACTTTCTAGCAACCAGCTCAACGACATCTTTCTTCTGTATCAAGCTTGAAATTCGTCCTCAATTGAGGTTCACAAGTTCTTCTGGCACATCTCAAGGACGCTTGTGGTTCGAGGCCCCTGGACGGATGTTGGCTGGTCGTGAGGTGAGGACCTAGATAATGCCTAGTTCCATCTCCGAGGCCCGCAGCCTTGGAGAGGCAGCTCTCTGCAGCCCATCTCTCATCCAGCTGCTTGGGGTTGTACCTCGGCTGGCATTCACGCCATTTCACGCCCCCACTCAGGAGAGGCAAGGCAAAAAAATCGGCAAGCCAATGTTGGAGAATTTCCCAGAACCTCCGAGATCATCAACACTTCAACTTGGGGCCAGGGGCCGTGAAAGCAGCGAGCAGACCAACTGGACAAACTGGTCGGTTCGCGGGCCCCGGTCTGCAGGCATCAGGCCCGACCTGATTTGAAGCACCGAACTTCACCAGGATTGCAGGCTTTCCTGTCGCGCTCACTCTGCTGCAAGACTTGTAGATGTTGCTTGTGTGCGTGTGGCCTTTCAGTCGCTGAGCTAGCCGTGTGCAAACCAGAGTAGACTCGAAGCCAAACTGTGGTTGGCTAGCAGCTGAGAAGCCGACGCGATGTACCTGAAGGATGCCCGCAGCGCACGTCAAGATTGGGACTGTGACCATGGCACCCCATGTGAGGCCAGAAGAGGGCCTGTAGTAACTGTAGTACATTTAGCCCTCAGATCTTGCAGAACTCTCCCACTCTCGGCCTTGCATCCTGAAGTAGTTGCAAGAAGTTGGCTCCGAACTCAGAGCGGCAATCCTCCAGTCTTAACAGTTCACTCAAGTCTGGATCGGCACGCCTTTGGCTTCGGGTAGTTGCAAGGGTCCTTAGTCCTTCGTATGGGCCCCGACTTTTGGAAACCTTATGTAGCCGCAATACTTCAGAACCCTTTCGAAAAGGTAAGGGGCCGTATTCAAGGGAGCCCACGTAAAGACCCGCCTTTGGTGTTGGACGTTCAGGGCTCAGGGTTACCAGGCCGAGCAGTCGACACGCGGCGTTTACAAGTACTCAACCCTGTATGTAAGCTTCAAAGCCTAAGACCAGATATGTAGACCACTAAACAGCGCAGCTTGGATCGCACAGCCGAAGGTATAGATGAGAAGAAGTCACCAGTGAGGCTGCTTCCCATTGAAGGGCCGATGTTCACAAACTGAAACCATGAAGCGTCATAAACTCGTCCTGCTCAATGACTTCAGCGAAGTCTTTCTCCCATTCTCCCTCGAGGTGGAAGAGCCAGACTCGAAATCGCTCCCTGGCCAGCGAATCGTCTGCTGAGGCTTGGAGGATGAGAGGAAGAAGCGAAGAAGGCAGCTACAATTAGGTCTGAGCACAACAATGATTCGCTAAGTATTCTCAAGCTTGTGTAATTGAAGGCTAGAGAACATCTCAGGTAGCCATCGCCCTGCCTCAAGATCGCAGCGTTGGCTTCTCGCCAGTGTTCTTTCAGGCAAACGCCGGCATACGCCTGCTGGCTGTCTCAATGCTGGCTTTCGCTGTCTCCTTTAATTACCTCGGCACGCCCCAAAACCTGGGACTCAGAGCCTAGGACATTGGCATTCCACATGCTCTAAGGCCCATTTCCAGGCTGCTGAATTAAAGAATGGAGGCCAGGCACCCGCGAATGTCATCGTAAGCTTCTCATGAGCTATTGTGATAATTTTGATATGAATATACGGTTATGTTCTAATATTCCTATATCCTTGTATTATTAGATTCTATCACTATATGATGCTGTTCTTATAGTATTATGGCCTTCCAGAAAGCTGCATCGGACCACAGGCCGTTACCTCAAGCGCGCTGCGTAGATTGCAGAACTCCGAAAATACTTGGGATGCGAGGAGCCAATTCGTTTCTGTGTTAGGGCTGGTGCTGTACACTCCAAGCTCCTAACGGAAGCAACTTAAACGATGCTGAACGCCAAGCTGCGAAGCTGGGAGCACGTGGGCGCCGCCTGCCCAAGGCAAGCCACCTGGAGCTGGAGAGTTGAGGGTTTCGGGAAGCCTCAAGCCTTTTAAACTGTAAGCAAGCTCTGTAAAACGCAGTTTCTTGGAGCTGGAGGAGGCAAAGGGCCGTAGAAAGGGCGACGAATTCTGTGGGGCTTCGGGGGTTCCCCAAGAGTCGGTGGCCTCCATGAATAAGAAGAGGTAGGCCCGCAACTCCTCCCGGCAAGCATGTGAATGAACGATTCGGAAACCACCAGGCAACCACCAGGTGGAGATCTTGCGGGGCTTCTCTTCGGCCCCGGTGCACATTAAGGACACGAAAGGTGGGAAGGACTGTGAATCGGTCCGACTTCTGCGGCCTCTTGAAAATAGAGCTGCATCTTGCGACAGCTGCTACAGCCATCCTCCTGAAGCTCCAACACCAACTCCACCAGTGGCGCAGGCTGCCGCGGCCGGGAGGGAGATGAGGGGCCTCTGAATCGACACAGGGCTCAAGGATTATAAGGTTTAACTATAGGGTTGAGGGGTCAAGAGCCTTGCTTGAAGTTGCCCTTTTGGCAATTACTTGCCTTAAACTCCCCAAACCCTTCCAAAACCAACTTACACCCTCAACTTCACTGCTTAGGACCGGGCTCGGGGGGTCTGGTTCAGATGCGCCAGGAGTCGCCATGTGCTACTTCACGGTTCCTGGGGCTTCTGATTGAATAGCGTTGAAGGGCCACACAGGACCTTTGGGGCTTGGGGACTCTTGGCTTGCAAGACTGCTGGTAGGGTTTGCAGCTTCGGGCTTCGGGATGAATTAGGGTTCCAGGTGTCGCGTGTAGGGTTTAGGGTTTCGGGGATTAGAGAGTTTCGGGTCGCATGCTTCGGGTTTCGAGTCGCACCTTGAAGTCCATGTCGCCCCATGCGCCGAAGGCAGGTTGCTGCTCGGCTATTTGTGATTCAAGGGCTTGATGCGGGTTTGGGATCTGGATTTGGGGGAGAGTTGGTGTTTAGGTGTGGGGGGGGGGGGGGGGGGGGGGGGGGGGGTGGGGCTCTGCACGTTGATAGGATGCTGTGTGGTTCTCAACTCTGCTTTTGCGCCAATTCTAAACCTAATCTGACGCCATCAGTGGCTGTATGCGAAGTCGATGGCCACTGGATGGTCCTCTGGGCATCTTACGATTACGGCAAGTCAGGCAGGTGCAGGGGCAAGTCAGACAGGTACACTTGCATGTGACGCACTCTCTGCGTCAATGCTGCACTGTGCCTTGCATTGAGTTGTGCTGAACTCAAGCCCAATGACGAATGTTGGACTTGGACATCCAGGTTCCGGGCATATAGGGCGATGTATGTAGGACCTTTATGCGTTATTTGACGGTCCTGCTTCGCCTTCCAAAACTTTAAGGATTTTAAGGAATTTAGGGGTTTTCCAAAATTTTAAAAGAACCACAAAATCCTTAAAATTTTGAAAGCCCGGACCTTTCAAAATTTTAAGGATTTTAAGGAATTTAAGGCCTTTTAAATTTCTTAAAATCCTTAAAATCCTTAAAATTTTGAAAGAAAATTAAATTATTTTCCGGAAAGAGGCAGGCCCATTTAAAATTTTAAAAATCCTTAAAATCCTGAAAATCCTTAAAATTTTGAAAGCCCGGGCCTTCAAAATTTTAAGGATTTTAAGGAATTTAAGGCCTTTTAAATTCCTAAAAATCCTTAAAATCCTTAAAATTTTGAAAGAAAATTAAAATATTTTCCGGAAAGAGGCAGGCCCATTTAAAATTTTAAAAATCCTTAAAATCCTTAAAATCCTTAAAATTTTGAAAGGTTGGGGCTTTCAAAATTTTAAGGATTTTAAGGAATTTAAGGCCTTTTAAATTTCTTAAAATCCTTAAAACCCTTAAAATTTTGAAAGAAAATTAAATTATTTTCCGGAAAGAGGCAGGCCCATGTAAAATTTTAAAAATCCTTAAAATCCTTAAAACCCTTAAAATTTTGAAAGGTTGGGGCTTGTTGGGGCTTTCAAAATTTTCAGGATTTTAAGGAATTTAAGGCCTTTTAAATTCCTAAAAATCCTTAAAACCCTTAAAATTTTAAAAGAAAATTAAAATATTTTCCGGAAAGAGGCAGGCCCATTTAAAATTTTAAAAATCCTTAAAATCCTTAAAATCCTTAAAATTTTGAAAGGTTGGGGCTTTCAAAATTTTAAGGATTTTAAGGAATTTAAGGCCTTTTAAATTTCTTAAAAACCTTAAAATCCTTAAAAAATGTTGAAAGAAAATTAAATCATTTTCCGGAAAGAGGCAGGCCCATTTAAAATTTTAAAAATCCTTAAAATCCTTAAAATCCTTAAAATTTTAAAAGCCCGGGCCTTTCAAAATTTTAAGGATTTTAAGGAATTTAAGGCCTTTTAAATTTCTTAAAATCCTTAAAATCCTTAAAATTTTGAAAGAAACTTAAATCATTTTCCGGAAAGAGGCAGGCCCATTTAAAATTTTAAAAATCCTTAAAATCCTTAAAATCCTTAAAATTTTGAAAGGTTGGGGCTTTCAAATTTTTAAGGATTTTAAGGAATTTAAGGCCTTTTTAAAAAAAAAAAAAAAAAAAAAAAAAAAAAAAAAAAAAAAAAAAAAAAAAAAAAAAAAAAAAAAAAAAAAAAACAAAAAAAAAAAAAAAAAAAAAAAAAAAAAAAAAAAAATAAAAACCAAAAAAAAAATAAACCAAAAAAAAAAAAAAAATCAAAAAAAAAAAAAAAAAAAAAAAAAAAAAAAAAAAAAAAAACAAAAAAAAAAACAAAAAAAAAAAAAAAAAAAAAAAACAAAAAAAAAACAAAAACCACAAAAAAAAAAAAAAAAAAAAAAAAACAAAAAAAAAAAAAAAAAAAAAAAAAAAAAAAAAAAAAAAAAAAAAAAAAAAAAAAAAACAATTTCTCTTAAAAATCCTTAAAATCCTTAAAATTTTGAAAGAAAATTATATTATTTTCCGGAAAGAGGCAGGCCCATTTAAAATTTTAAAAATCCTTAAAATCCTTAAAATCCTTAAAATTTTGAAAGGTTGGGGCTTTCAAAATTTTAAGGATTTTAAGGAATTTAAGGCCTTTTAAATTTCTTAAAATCCTTAAAATCCTTAAGATCCTTAAAATTTTGAAAGAAAATTAAATCATTTTCCGGAAAGAGGCAGGCCCATTTAAAATTTTAAAAATCCTTAAAATCCTTAAAATCATTAAAATTTTGAAAGGTTGGGGCTTTCAAAGTTTTAAGGATTTTAAGGAATTTAAGGCCTTTTAAATTTCTTAAAATCCTTAAAATCCTTAAAATCCTTAAAATTTTGAAAGAAAATTGAATTATTTTCCGGAAAGAGGCAGGCCCATTTAAAATTTTAAAAATCCTTAAAATCCTTAAAACCCTTAAAATTTTGAAAGGTTGGGGCTTTCAAAATTTTAAGGATTTTAAGGATTTTAAGGATTTTTAAAATTTTAAATGGGCCTGACTCTTTCCGGAATATATTTTAATTTTATTTCAAAATTTTAAGGATTTTAAGGATTTTAAGAAATTTAAAAGGCCTTAAATTCCTTAAAATCCTTAAAATTTTGAAAGGCCCGGGCTTTCAAAATTTTAAGGATTTTAGGGATTTTAAGGATTTTGAAAATTTTAAATGGGCCTGCCTCTTTCCGGAAAATAATTTAATTTTCTTTCAAAATTTTAAGGATTTTAAGGATTTTAAGGATTTTAAGAATTTTAAAAGGCCTTAAATTCCTTAAAATCCTTAAAATTTTGAAAGGCCCGGGCTTTCAAAATTTTAAGGATTTTAAGGATTTTAAGGATTTTTAAAATTTTAAATGGGCCTGCCTCTTTCCGGAAAATAATTTAATTTTCTTTCAAAATTTTTAAGGATTTTAAGGATTTTAAGAAATTTAAAAGGCCTTAAATTCCTTAAAATCCTTAAAATTTTGAAAGCCACAACCTTTCAAAATTTTAAGGATTTTAAGGATGTTAAGGATTTTTAAAATTTTAAATGGGCCTGCCTCTTTCCGGAAAATAATTTAATTTTCTTTCAAAATTTTAAGGATTTTAAGGATTTTAAGACTTTAAAATGCCTTAAATTCCTTAAAATCCTTAAATTTTGAAAGCCCAACTTTCAAAATTTAAGGATTTTAAAGGATTTTAAGGATTTTTAAATTTTAAATGGGCCTGCCTCTTTCCGGAATCATATAATTTTCTTCAAAATTTTAGGGAGGATTTTCAGGATTTTAAGCAATTTTAATTAAGAAGGCCTTAATTCCTTAAAAAGCCCTTAAAATTTTAAAGCCCCAACCTTTCAACATTTTAAGATTTAAGGATTTTAAGGATTTTAAGGATTTTTTAAAATTTTAAAATCGGCCTGCCTCTTTCCGGAAAGATTTAATTTCTTTCAATTTTAAGGATTTTAAGGATTTTAAGGATTTTAAGGATTTTAAGAAATTTAAAAGGCGCTAAATTCCTTAAAATCCTTAAAATTTTGAAAGCCCCAACCTTTCAAAATTTTAAGGATTTTAAGGATTTTAAGGATTTTTAAAATATTAAATGGGCCTGCCTCTTTCCGGAAAATGATTTAATTTTCTTTCAAAATTTTAAGGATTTTAAGGATTTTAAGGATTTTAAGAAATTTAAAAGGCCTTAAATTCCTTAAAATCCTTAAAATTTTGAAAGGCCCGGGCTTTCAAAATTTTGAGGATTTTAAGGGTTTTAAGGATTTTTAAAATTTTAAATGGGCCTGCCTCTTTCCGGAAAATAATTTAATTTTCTTTCAAAGTTTTAAGGGTTTTAAGGATTTTAAGGATTTTAAGGATTTTAAGAAATTTAAAAGGCGTTAAATTCCTTAAAATCCTTAAAATTTTGAAAGGCCCAACCTTTCAAAATTTTAAGGGTTTTAAGGATTTTAAGGATTTTTAAAATTTTAAATGGGCCTGCCTCTTTCCGGAAAATAATTTAATTTTCTTTCAAAATTTTAAGGATTTTAAGGTTTTTAAGAAATTTAAAAGGCCTTAAATTCCTTAAAATCCTTAAAATTTTGAAAGGCCCGGGCTTTCAAAATTTTAAGGATTTTAAGGATTTTAAGGATTTTTAAAATTTTAAATGGGCCTGCCTCTTTCCGGAAAATAATTTAATTTTCTTTCAAAATTTTAAGGATTTTAAGGATTTTAAGAATTTAAAATGCCTTAAATTCCTTAAAATCCTCAAAATTTTGAAAGGTCCGGGCTTTCAAAATTTCAAGGGTTTTCAGGATTTTAAGGATTTTAAAATTTTAAATGGGCCTGACTTTTCCGGAAAATAAATTTATTTTCCAATAGTTTTACTGAGTTTATTTTTTTTTATTTAAATGGGCCTGACCCTTTCTGGAAAATACTTGAATATTAGTTTAAAATTTGATAGATTTTAAGGAAACTAGGGGCATTTCAATATTTGGAAAGGCCATGAAGTTGCATGGGTACGTTATATTTTTGGATTTTTGTTTGTAATTTTTAGCAAATAAACCATTTAAGTTTTTTTTTGCAATTTTCCTGAAATTCTGAAAGCCTAGGCCTTACAAGAAAAATAAAGAAAACAGCAACACAAATACTCATTCAAAATATTTAAATGCGCTTCTTAGTCCTTTTAAAAAAGAACATTTTGTTTTGTTAATTCATAAGGCTTGTAAAAAAAGCCGGAGGTCCGG